GGCCATGACCTGTCAGCTCAGGACATCCCCCAGGGCAAATGCAGAGCACACCATACAGCTGGGGCAGTGGTGGAGGATGGACAGAGGGATGGACAGATGGCTGGATAGGTGGGGGGGATGGTGGGGAAGGGACAGAGATTAATGGATAAATGGGGGATAGTGCGGGATACACAGACAGATGAATGGATACATTGGGGGGATGGTAGAAGATGAACACATAGATGAATGAATGGATGGGTGGGTGGGGGATGGTGGGAGATGGACATATAGATTAATGGATAGATGGGTGAGTGAAGGGATGGTGCAGGATAAACAGAGATGAATGGAGGGATGGGTGAGTGAAGGGATGATGGAGGATAAACATATAAACAAATGGAGGGATGGGTGAGTGAAGGGAGAGTAGAGGATAAACATATAGATGAATGGAGGGATGGATGATTGAAGGGATGATGGAGGATAAACAGAGATGAATGGAGGGATGGGTGAGTGAAGGGAGAGTAGAGGATAAACATATAGATGAATGGAGGGATGGGTGAGTGAAGGGATGATGGAGGATAAACAGAGATGAATGGAGGGATGGGTGAGTGAAGGGATGATGGAGGATAAACAGAGATGAATGGAGGGATGGGTGAGTGAAGGGATGATGGAGGATAAACATAGATGAATGGAGGGATAGATGATTGAAGGGATGATGGAGGATAAACAGATGAATAGAGGGATGGGTGAGTGAAGGGATGATGGAGGATAAACATAGATGAATGGAGGGATGGGTGAGTGAAGGGATGATGGAGGATAAACAGAGATGAATGGAGGGATGGGTGAGTGAAGGGATGATGGAGGATAAACAGAGATGAATGGAGGGATGGGTGAGTGAAGGGATGATGGAGGATAAACAGAGATGAATGGAGGGATGGGTGAGTGAAGGGATGATGGAGGATAAACAGAGATGAATGGAGGGATGGGTGAGTGAAGGGATGATGGAGGATAAACAGAGATGAATGGAGGGATGGGTGAGTGAAGGGATGATGGAGGATAAACAGAGATGAATGGAGGGATGGGTGAGTGAAGGGATGATGGAGGATAAACAGAGATGAATGGAGGGATGGGTGAGTGAAGGGATGATGGAGGATAAACATATAGATGAATGGAGGGATGGGTGAGTGAAGGGATGATGGAGGATAAACATATAGATGAATGGAGGGATGGGTAAGTGAAGGGATGATGGAGGATAAACATATAGATGAATGGAGGGATGGGTGAGTGAAGGGATGATGGAGGATAAACAGAGATGAATGGAGGGATGGGTGAGTGAAGGGATGATGGAGGATAAACATAGATGAATGGAGGGATGGATGAGTGAAGGGATGATGGAGGATAAACAGAGATGAATGGAGGGATGGATGAGTGAAGGGATGATGGAGGATAAACATATAGATGAATGGAGAGATGGGTGAGTGAAGAGATAGTAGAGGATAAACATATAGATGAATGGAGAGATGGGTGAGTGAAGGGATGATGGAGGATAAACAGAGATGAATGGAGGGATGGATGAGTGAAGGGATGATGGAGGATAAACAGAGATGAATGGAGGGATGGGTGAGTGAAGGGATGATGGAGGATAAACATATAGATGAATGGAGGGATGGGTAAGTGAAGGGATGATGGAGGATAAACATAGATGAATGGAGGGATGGGTGAGTGAAGGGATGATGGAGGATAAACATAGATGAATGGAGGGATGGGTGAGTGAAGGGATGATGGAGGATAAACATATAGATGAATGGAGGGATGGGTGAGTGAAGGGATGATGGAGGATAAACATATAGATGAATGGAGGGATGGGTGAGTGAAGGGATGATGGAGGATAAACATAGATGAATGGAGGGATGGGTGAGTGAAGGGATGATGGAGGATAAACATATAGATGAATGGAGGGATGGGTGAGTGAAGGGATGATGGAGGATAAACATATAGATGAAGGGAGGGATGGATGAGTGAAGGGATGATGGAGGATAAACATATAGATGAATGGAGGGATGGGTGAGTGAAGGGATGATGGAGGATAAACATATAGATGAATGGAGGGATGGATGAGTGAAGGGATGATGGAGGATAAACAGATGAATGGAGGGATGGATGAGTAAAGGGATGATGGAGGATAAACATATAGATGAATGGAGGGATGGGTGAGTGAAGGGATGATGGAGGATAAACATAGATGAATGGATGGATGGGTGAGTGAAGGGATGACAGAGGATAAACACAGATGAATGGAGGGATGGGTGGGGGGATGGGGGATGGTAGAAGATGAACCTATAGATGAATGGATGAACGAGTGGGTGGGGAATAGTGGAGGATGGACATATAGATCAATGGATGGATGATGGGTGGGTGGGGGGATGGGGGATGGTAGAAGATGGACATATAGATGAATGGATAGATGGGTGTGGGGGGATGGTGGAGGATGGATACATAGGTGAGTGGATGGAGGACTGGTTGGGGGATGGTAGAGAATAACATAGATGAATGGATGGATGGGTAAGTGGGTGGGGGGATGATGAGGGATGGACAGAGATGAACTGATAGATGGGGGATGGTGGGGGATGGACTGAGCAATGGATGGATGGGTGGGTGGGGAAATGGTGGAGGATGGACAGACAGATGGACAGATGGGGAAGGTGGGATATGGATAGACAAATGGGTGAATGGATGGGCAGGTGGGTGAAGTGATAGAAGGGTGGACAGTTAGATGGATGATTGGATGGGTTTATAGATGAATGAATGGATCGATGAATAGTAGATTCATGGGTGGGTAGCTGGAGGGATGGGAGGAGGCCAGGTAGAAGGGGGTGTAACTGAGTGAGTGAACGAGTGTGTAGACAGGATGTTGGTAGATGGTTATATAAGAAAATGAGGGGAAATGGGAGGACGGGTGAATGGTGGCTAATTGGATGGGAAGGTGGCATGTGGGTGGTGTTGGAGGAACAAAACGGTGGTGGAATAATGTGTAGGAGGGTGGGCAGATGGGATGCTGAAGGCTAGGTGGATGGAGGAGTGGATGAAGGAGAAAACAGAGTGGGATGCATGAATGGAAGGGTGGGTGGGCTGTGTGGGGGCCACTGGGCAGGAAGAAAGTGCTGGAACCCCATTAAGTGGAGAAAGCCCCAGCCCCCAAGCCCTCTGGGGCAAACCACGGTCAACATGCACTGTCAGGAACACAAAAGCATGGTGAGGAACCTGAGGGCAGAAGCTAAATCCTTTCCCTGAAACCAAAACTGACATTTGACGTCTTCTTGCCGACCCAGACATTCCTCCTCAGGAGTCAAGCCAGAGCCTTGCTCCGGAAAATGAAATTATGGGGCCTGAGTCCAACGTGGGTTGAGGAATTAGAGGAATTTCCGAAGGGTCAGGCCAGCGAAGGGTGGCAGGCAGGGCCTGGCTCCCATCCTGACCCCTTGCCAGCTGTCTACCAGAGCACACCCAGGGCTGTGCTGGCCCCCGTGAGGGGAGAGAGGGGACTGGTGACCACTGAGACTCCTCCCATAACCCCTCCCCCTTCCCCCCACCCCAACGAGGAGGAAATGATGCCAGAGTGGGCTGGCAGGAATTGGACCCAGGCCCAGCAACCGCCTTCTGCCTGGGAGGACATCCTGGGAGCTGCCAGTGTAAAGACTTGCTCCCCACCCCAGCTGGCCAGGCCTTGTGGGGGCCCCCTCTTTACCCTGTTGCCGCTACTGTGGTCAGATGGTGCCCAAAGCCTTGCGGGTAATTTCTGGCCAACCCCACTGCCCGGGCACTGTTCCCAGGCTGGGACAGGGCCAGAGCTTGGGGCCTGGGGTGTGGGGTTCACAGGGTGGAGTCCATGTCCATCTGTGCCAAGGTGAGGACCACAGTCCCTTGCAGTCTGTGTTGGGCCCAGGGTGCCTGGGCTGGGAACAATGGTTCTCAGCCTCTAAGCAGCAGAAGGAACCCTCACGGAAAGATGTACAAGCATTACTTTGTGAGAATGAAACTTTCCGTATATCCAAAAAAAAAAAAGGGTCACACAGTGTGGTCATGTTTTTTAAAGAACTGATACCATTTACAGCAACACATGTAGTGAGCGTTTTGATGAACTGACAGGTGCCAGTGTTACTCCTAGACCGTGACTCCAGCTCCGTGAGCCTGGCGTGGGGCGTGTGGGACCCATCACACTAGGTTCCACTTCTGTGCATTTGTAATTTTCCATAATAGAAGCAGCAGCCACAAAGAAAATCAAGACAGTCGACATGCTGGAATCAAGTATTTGTAACACCCAACAACAAAGTGACATCCTCAACCCATTAGGTGCTCTCACAGGCTGCTCCAGAGCCCCACAGTCCTGCCCGTGTGCCACTTCTCGAAGCACAGGCTGCTGGCATAATCAGAACCTCAGTAGAAAATGGACAAACCAAACACCCTCCCTACCAGCCAGGCAAATGAGAGCAGAGGTCAGGGACTAATCCCCCCAGGGACCAGGGCGGTGTCCATTGTCAGAGAGCCATAATCAGATTCAGTCTGGAAATTTGATTTCCTCAGCAGAAGCGGCAGGCCAGGCTGAATGAGACGCCATCAGAGGGATGGGTAGAGGGACAGAGATGGCTTCTCAGTGACTGCCTTCAGCTCCCCAGTTGTCCACACAGTCACTCAGCGGCACCCGCTGATCACGTGAGGGGACAACTCCCGTGTCCAGGGAGAATACTCAGAAAGGGCCTCTTCCCACTGGGCTCCTGCCCTGCACTAAAGCAGTGCCCAAGGCCAAGGGTGCCAGGACCAAAGCGGCGCTGGTCAGCCACAGGGGGCCTGCTGGATGGGAGGTCCGGGGGGACCAGGGGCTGTCTGGGGCTAATACGGAAGCTGAGGGTCCAGTCAAGGCAGGGACACTGCTGGGGGCCAGAAAGCTGGGCAGCCTAAGGTTGGGCAAGGGCTGGTTCTAGGGACTGTCAGAGGCAGAATAAGCCCAGTGACTGCAGGCAGGACAGGACAGGTGACCAGGCAGGGCAGGTGAGTGTCCCAGCAACTGTCCCTTCTCTATAGGAGGCATGAACCACAGGGAGCCACTGCTGGATGAAAAGTCTGGGCTTAAGATTCCCATCCAGCAGGTCACAGACCCTGCTCCCTCTGCCATCAGCAGCATCCTGGCAGGTCACAGACCCTGCTCCCTCTGCCATCAGCAGCATCCTGGCAGGTCACAGACCCTGCTCCCTCTGCCATCAGCAGCATCCTGGCAGGTCACAGACCCTGCTCCCTCTGCCATCAGCAGCATCCTGGCAGGTCACAGACCCTGCTCCCTGTGCCACCAGCAGCATCCTATAAATCTCCTTGGTCTCCTGAGAACTGCCTCTCCGTGAGGACACATGGGATGGGGTGGAAAGGAGTCCTTCAGGTCCCAATTCGGAGCAGCCCCCAATACCCTTCCTGTGACTGACCCAGGCTCCAGCTACAGCTGCAGCAGGGGGTGGCAGCTGTCCCCTACAGTGGCAGACTCCAAGCCAGGGAGTACTGGCAGTGAGGGGCCACCTTCTCTGGGCTCCCTGCTGCAGACCGCCCAGGGCACCACCAAGGGCTCAAAGGCTGGGGAGTTCCAGGGAGAGAGCTGCAGGGGCTGCCAGCACAGCGTCCTTTCCCCTCTCCCCTTGGCCCACTCAATCCACCCCCAATGATGAACATGAAGTAGGGGTGTGGAGGGGTGTGGTGCCCCACTGAGTGGGCCAGGCACCTGTGGCTATAGCTGGCCCATTGCCTCCACGGCCTCCCAGAGTGGGCACTCCGCAAGATCCCATGTGGCTCAGACCCCTGCATCAGAGAGCACAGGTGTTACAGGCCCCAGACATAGAGGTGGGGGGTGTTACAGGCCCCAGACATAGAGCTGAGCCCGGTCCTCTGTGCTCTGGGGTGGGCATAAGGACCAAAGCATCCCTGAGGAGGGAACTGACAGGGCTCACAGCTAGGCTGGAATCAGAGGCAGACAGGCAGTGCCTGGGAGCTCTGCCCTACCACACCCTACGGCCCCTCTGAGGCACTGTAGGGGACAGCTGTCCAGCAGGCAAGGGGCCTCAGAGGGCAGGTGCAGCAGTTGCTACTCTGGCCACCGGCCTGAGGGCACAGGGCCCTCTGCCTGCAACGCCTGTCCCTCCCTGCCCCAAGACAGTGGGTAGACCCCTTCTTCCCAGCCCCTCTATCGCCATGGCAACGCCCAGGCTTCTCCTGAGGGACAGAGCCTCTTTGTGGCAACACAAAGCCCCTTTGAGGGGAGGTGGGGGTGCAGCCCCTGGGAGCCTATGGCCAAAGGGCCCCTGGGGGGTAAAGCAGGGCCCCCCAGCCCAGCCCTCATCTCAGGTTGTGGAGCCAAGGAAGCTGAGATAGGAGAGCCTTGTGGTTAGGGACTGGGACCTGGTGCTGCCCGCCCCAGCTGCCCACCAAGAATGGTCTCTGGGTGGATGAGCTGGACAGCCCGGGAGGTCAGGCTGGGCAGAGACAGCACTGAGGAGCCTCTCCGCAGGGGCTTGGGGGGTTCCCACTTCCTCACCCGTTGTTTTGACCAAGAACACAGTCTGCTTAGATAAATGGAAAATGGCACCGGCTGGGGAGCTCCCACCAGTCAGGAAACACCCAGGCCGGCTGCAGAAACAGTGCCTGGTGGGAGACGGGGGCAGGAAGTCCTCTGTGGGAGGGCAGGCAGGGGCCATGAGATGGCAGGTGAGACAGTGGGAGGTCTGGCACCAGGTGTGCTGAGAGGCCGGGCCCAGGATCTGGGCCCCACTCAGTTTACTGTCCTCTTACTTCTCTGGCCTCAGCCTCCGTCTTCACGTGTCCGTCCAGGGGAATATGTCACTGACCTTGCTGCAGCCACAACTCTGGGACAGGCCAGTTGGATAACAAGTAACCTCATCATGGCTTGCCTTGTTCCGGGGCTGGGGAAACTGAACCCTGAGGATGATGTAGGTCCTTGACACAGTGACAGCATGGCTGTCCTAGCCATGCTCCAGCCCCACAGCCAGGAAGGCAGAGGAGGCCAGGCCACATTTTCCCAGACTCCCACCCCAGAGCCCCTCCTGTCCTGGCCTGAGGTTCCCTGCCCACCCAGCCGACTGCTGCTGACCAGGCACCTGGCAGCTCCCTGCATTCGGGCACCCTGCCCAGAGGCCCTCCCCAGGTGACCTCAGTCTGACCCGCAGCAGCTTTGCTAACTAAGCCCCTGGGGTGGGGGGGTCATCGGCCCCCTGTGGCAGCATGAGGCGGTGCTAGCCCCAGGAGAGATCCATCCTTTTGTAGGCAAATCTATCCGAGTACCAGGGAGTGGGGCCAAGGGGCTACCCCCACACAGCAGTGCCTGGGTCAGCAAGCACTCCATGCACCACCCACGGAGACTCCCACCACACCACTACCACCCTGCCTTCCCCATTAGTATCCGGCTCTCTGCTGACACCTGCGGGCACAAAGGTAGGGGCTGGGACTCCCCAGCTGCTGTGGCAGGGAGCGGCCAAAGGGTGGTTGCTGTGGTGGATGGAGGCCATGTGGTTCAGAATGGATCACAGGAAGGTGTGGGTGTGAGAATAAGTCTGGGCTGACCATAAGGGCAGGCCTGGGCAGCTGGAGGGAAGGGCTGGGACCATGAGTGGGAGAGTGCAATGGGGGTCTGTGAGACTGAAGAGGCTGAGGGACCACTAGATGAATGAGGTTCTGGGAGAGAGGGATTCAGGCTGGAGACAGAACCACTGACAGCTTCAGCCTATGAAGCCCAGAGACAAGACAGGTGCAAACCGCAGCGCCTCCTCCAAAGGATCCCCCCATCCTTCTAGAATAAGGGGATAAAGTCACTTTCCCAGCCATCATCTTCCCTGCACTGGAAGGGGCAGAACCAGGACCCAGCTCTGAAAGGTGAGCCTCAGGAAGGAGGCAACACTACCATCCCTTGGGGACAACAGCCTGTCCCCTGAAAGTCCCAAGACTCTTGGGAAAGGTGCTCCTCACTGTGCCCTTTTCCCACCAGCACATCAGAGGGGTCAGTGGTGCGAGATCTTGATCCAGCATGAAGTAGAGGCCACTCCATCATATGCAGGGAGGTCCCACATCCCCTTTGGTCTGCCCTTGCCCCAGGGTCCTGTGTGGCCTCTAGCCAGTGCCGGCTGCTCCCAGGGCACCTGAAGCACAGCCCATCCCTCCCAGAGCCTGAGCTGGACACTGGCCTTGCCGCTCCCACCCCCCTCCCCTGCTGGGAGCCAGCTCCACCCTGGAGTGCCCATGGCAACAGGCCTAGGCACCAACCACCAGCAAGTGCGCAAAGTCCCGCCTTTCATATGCAAGCAACGCAGAGGGCTGGGCAGGGGGCTGCACCACCCCATCCAGGACAGATTCCAGGCCCTGCAGCCTCCCATCTGGCTCCCACCCCACATACCAGGAAAGCCTCAGGACTGCACTGTGCATGCAGTCCCCGACACAAAGAGGTGGGAACCCTGCAGAGGGAAGCGCTGACAGTTTGGGGCCCTCCTCAAAGCCACCCACACTTCTACGGTGTGAATACTGGTACCGCCCAAATTCACCTTAAAACCTAATCTCCAATCTGACATTATTAAGAGATAGGGCCTTTAGGAGGTGATAAGTGCCCTTATGTGACCTTATAAAAGTGGCCCTTGGGGGCCATGTGAGGACACACTGAAGGGGCCAGCTATGAATAACCCTCACCAGACATGGAATCTGGTGGTGCCTTGATCTTGGACTTCTCAGCCTCCAGCACCATGAGCAGTGAGTTTCTATTATTATTATTATTATTTTGAGACAGAGTTTCACTCTTGTTGCCCAGGCTAGAGTGCAATGGCATGATCTTGGCTCACTGCAACCTCCGCCTCCCAGGTTCAAGAGATTCTCCTGCCTCAGCCTCCTGAGTAGCTGGGATTACAGGCATGCACCACCACACTCGGCTAATTTGTTGTATTTTTAGTAGAGACAGGGTTTCTCCATGTTGGTCAGGCTGGTCTTGAACTTGTGACCTGATCCACCCACCTCAGCCTCCCAAAATGGAATTACAGGCATGAGTCACTGCACCCGGCAGTTTTTATTGTTTATAAAGGACTCCGTCTAAGGTATTTGGTGACAGATTGTGAATAAACTGTCTGTGAATAAGACACACACACGCACACATACAAGCACACCACACACGGAGACCCAGAGATGCCCCATGGGCACACACACCAGCAGGCACACTTGTCCACACCCACGTGGCTGCTGCTTATCCCCTCTAGAAGTCCTGACAGGCCCTTTTTGCGGGGTGGGAGACATCTTGGCTCCTGGTGAGGGTCAGCATGCTTGGTAGACCCCACTCCTGTCTTGGACACCAGGCAAGGCAGACCCCTCTGAAACCCGCAGGCTAAGTCAAGCCTGTCCCTAACACCACAGTCTGCAGGACCCCCTGCCTCTAATCCCATGAGGTTCCTCTGGGACAGGTGGGAGTGGCTGGGCCTGTGGACCCTAAGCTTGCACAGACCCACCTGCAGGGATAAGCACAACTTACAGCACCCTAGTGCCCAGGGAAGATGCTTCCACCGTAGGAGGACTCGGGGAGCCGCCTCCCACTCAGTCACATTTAGTGCATTTCTTAGGAAACAGCTGGTATGTGCCCTAGAAGGTTCAACTGAGCTGGGAGCAAACAAACCATAATGAAAAGGAGCTGCCATAAATAATGAGGATCCCATGGAGATCTTAAAGAAAAACAGGGCAGAGGCAGTAAACAGCAGACAGAACACTGCAGAAAACACGCAGTGTGAGGCTGGAGAGAGCACACTAACACAGTCCCCCCAACAGCAAACGGGAGAGATGACAAGAGGATGGTGGGAGCCACAGAAGACAGAGCCCAGGGCCAAACTTCCACATGACAGGAGTTCCCAGAGGGGAAACCGACAGACAGTGCTCTTCCAACCACAGAAACCACCTCAACAGGAGCGCGCCCAGTGGGGCTGTCAGCATCGGGGCTGGAATGTGAGTTAGGGGGTGAGCTTTCTGTCCAGAAAAGAAGCCCAGGAAATCAAAGCTGTGCCTATCTCTGGATTTTACAACTGAGTCTCATTTCCTCTGGCTCCTAAATGCGCTGTGTCCACTTCGAGGTATAGAGAGGAGGCCTGCCCAGCCCTGACCTGCAGGCTACACTGAAGGCTGGGCCATTCTGTTCCAGGCCGTCCGCAGGCCTTCAGGGGCCGAGTGTGGTCCCTCTGTAAATGTCAGCCTCAACGCGCTGCCGCTTGCTGCCTGGCTCCCATCTCTCACAGCTCAGACACTGTTTTACGATAAGGAAGAGCTGGCAGCTTTGTTAAAACAAACAAACGCCTCTCCTCTTTATTTGAGATCTTTTAAAAAGTTAACCTCGCTCTGAAATCCCATAAGGAAAAATTATGGTGAGGTTTTTGGGTTTTCAGAGGCAGCAAATTTATCTCACCTAGAGCTCTGGACTACCCAAAGAAGCACTTTTAAGAACCAAAAGAGGCTGGGCGCGGTGCCTCACCCCTGTAATCCCAGCACTTTGGGAGGCCAAGGCAGGCGAATTGCCTGAGCTCAGGAGTTCAAGACCAGCCTCTGAAACATAATGAAATCCCATCTCTACTAAAATACAAAAAATTAGCCCAACATAGCAGCATAGGGGAGTTGCTTAAACCTGGGAGGCCAAGATTGCAGTGAGCTGAGATTGTGCCACTGCAGTCCAGCCTGGGCAATGGAGTGAGACTCTGTCTCGGAAAAAAAAAAAAAAAAAAGAAGAGAACAACTCAGGAGTCCATGAGGCCTTGATAACCCGAGGGATCCTGTACTTGCACTGCTGGGATTCAAATTTGGGCGCTGCCACCACCATGAGGTTGTGAGAAGCCCTCAGCGTGCGCACAAAGATTCCCTGAAGGGAATAGCAGCTGCTGATGTGTGGAATTGATTTTTTCAGCAAGGGCCTGCGATTCTGAATGCATTAAAGGCAGCTCCAGTTGTCTGTAGCAGTCCTCTGTCAGCTGCCCGTCAGGAGCATTTTTACTGGCTCAGGAAATTCACGGATCTCTGGACTGATGACTCCAACAGATTAGGTATGAATCCAAGAACCACAAAACAAAATCTAAGCAAGCTAAACAACCACCAAACACCAAAGCAAAACGAAAAACTCCATGTGGTCTAGTATTCCTTTTCCTTGTATAATATATAAAACCCTAAATACTCCACGTGCATTTTTTAAAAACTCTATTCGATATAAAATATGAAATAAGCAAAAGTGCAGGATAGAAAATGAATATACAGAAATCAGTTGCATTTCTATATATGAACAGTGAACAATACAAAAGGGAAATTTAAAAAACTACTCCATTTACAATAGCATTAAAAAGAATAGAATACATAGCACTAAACTTAAGAAACTGAAGATCTGTACACTGAAAACTATGAAATATTACAAATAAAAATTAAAGAAGACCTAAATCAGTGGAAAGATATCCAATGTTCATGGTTGGGAAGATCTACTACTGTTCCAGTGATGATACTACTGAAACGGATCAACAGATTCACTGCAATGCCTACTAAAATGCCAATGACAGGCCGGGCGGTGGCTCACGCCTGTAATCCCAGCACTGTGGGAGGCCGAGGCGGGTGGATCACAAGGTCAAGAGATCGAGACCATCCTGATCAACATGGTGAAATCCCATCACTACTAAAAATACAAAAAATTAGCTGGGCATGGTGGCGCATGCCTGTAATCCCAGCTTCTCGGGAGGCTGAGGCAGGAGAATTGCCTGAACCCAGGAGGCGGAGGTTGCGGTGAGCCGAGATCGCGCCATTGCACTCCAGCCTGGGTAACAAGAGCGAAACTCCGTCTCAAAATAATAAATAAATAAAATAAAATAAAATGCCAATGACAGCCAGGCATAGCAGTGAGTACCTGCAGTCCTAGCTACCCAGAGGCTGAGGCTAAAGACCTGCTTAAACCCAGGGGTTTAAGGCCACAGTAAGCTAGGGTCACACCACTGCATTCCAGTCTAGATGACAGAACAAGATCTGTCAAAACACAAATAATCTGGACATTGTTTGCAGAAAGAGAGAAATCTATCATAAGATTTATATTGATCTTTAAGAAGCCCAAAGAGCCAGCTGGGCACAGTGGCTCATGTCTGTAATCCCAGCACTTTGTGAGGCTGAGGCAGGTGGATCACAAGGTCAAGAGATCAAGACCATCTTGGCCAACATGGTGAAACCCCGTCTCCTTAAATAAATAAATAAGAAGCCCAAAGAGCCAAAACAATCTGGAAAAAGAACAAATTTTAAGGACTCACACTTCCTGATTTCAAAACTTACTACAAAACTATAGTAATTAAAACAGTGTGATATTAACATAAAGACAGACACATAGACCAATGGAATAGAATACAGAGCTCAGAAACAATCTCTCAAGAATATGGTCAAATGACCCTCAACAAAGGTGCCAAGACCATTTACTGGGGAAATGATGGTCTTTTCACCAAATGATGGAACTGGATACACACATGTAAATGAATGAACGCAGTCCCTTCCCTTATTTTATATATAAAAATTAACTTGAAATAGATGAAAGATCTAAACATAAGCCTCAAACTATAAAACTCTTAGAAGAAAATATAGGGCAAAGTCTTCATGACATTGGATTTGGCAATATCTTGGATAAGATACCAAAAACAGAGGCAACAGAAGTAAAAATAAATTAGACTACATCCAAATTTGAAATGCCTGTTCAACAAAGGACACGATCAATACAGTGAAAAAACAACCCCACAGTGGGAGAACAGATTTGTAAATCATATATCTGATAAGGAATTCATACCCAGAATATGTAAAGAACTCCCAAAACTTAACAACAGCAAAAAAACAAATAATTCAATTTAAAAATGGGTAGAGTTGAACTGACGTTTCTCCAAAGAAGATATAAAAATGGCCAAGAAGTATGTTAAAAATTTGCTCAACATTTCTAATCGTTAGAGAAGTTCACAACAAAACTTCAATGAAATATCACCTTACACCCTTTAGGATGGTTATTCCAAAAAAAAAGGAAAAGAGCGTTGGCCAGGAAATGGACAAATTAAGACCCTCATGCACTGCTGCTGGGAATGTAAGATCAGTATGGCACTTCCTCAAAAAGTTAAAAATAGAATTACCATATGGTCCAGCAATCAGAAAATTATGTTATGTATCTAAAGGAATTGAAAGCAAGGTCTCAAAGAGATATGTGCACAACCATGTTCACAGCAGCCAAAAAGGGGAAGCAACCCAAATGTGCACCAGTGGATGAACGGATAAACGAAATGTGATACAGACATACAATGGAATATCATGCAGCCTAAAAGAATAAGAAAATCCGGCCGGGCGCGGTGGCTCAAGCCTGTAGTCCCAGCACTTTGGGAGGCCGAGGCGGGTGGACCACGAGGTCAAGAGATCGAGACCATCCTGGTCGACATGGTGAAACCCCGTCTTTACTAAAATACAAAAAATTAGCTGGGCATGGTGGCGCGTGCCTGTAATCCCAGCTACTCGGGAGGCTGAGGCAGGAGAATTGCCTGAACCCAGGAGGTGGAGGTTGCGGTGAGCCGAGATCGCGCCATTGCACTCCAGCCTGGGTAACAAGAGCGAAACTCCGTCTCAAAAAAAAAAAAGAATAAGAAAATTCTTACATGCTATTCTCATTATGCTAAGTGAAATGGGCCAGTCACAAAAAGGCAGATACTGTGAGATTCTATTCATATAAGGCATCTAAAGCAGTCAAATAATAGGAAAAGTAGAAGCAGCTCAAGAAAAGGGCAAATGGGAGTTTTCTAAAGGGTACAGAGTTTCTGTGTTTTCTAAGAATAAAAACAAGTTCTGAAAATAGTTGTACAGCAATGTAAACCAACAACGCTACTGAATTGTACACTTGAAATGGCTAACATAGTAGATTTTATGTTACGTGTATTCCACCATAATTAAAATTAAAAAAGAGGTCCCGTCACATAATAAGAAATTGCATAATACCCTTTTATTTTTATTATTATTTATTTATTTATTTATTTATTTAATTGGAGACGGAGTTTCACTCTTGTTACCCAGGCTGGAGTGCAATGGCGCGATCTCGGCTCACCGCAACCTCCGCCTCCTGAGTAGCTGGGATTACAGGCACGCGCCACTCTGCCCAGCTAATTTTTTGTATTTTTAGTAGAGACTAAACATGGTTTCACCATGTTGACCAGGATGGTCTCGATCTCGTGACCTAGTGATCCACCCGCCTTGGCCTCCCAAAGTGCTGGGATTACAGGCGTGAGCCACAGCACCCGGCCTTATTATTTTTTTTTTAAGTCGGGGTTTCACCATGTTGGTCAGGCTGGTCTTGAACTCCCGACCTCAGGTGATCCGCCCGCCTTGGCCTCCAAGGTGCTTGGATTACAGGCGTGAGCCACCACACCCAGCGCATAATGGCCTTTTAAATAAATAGTATATCAAAGGTAAAAATTTAAGACTAGGCATGGTGGCTTATACCTGTAATCTCAGCACTTTGAGAGGCCAAGGCAGGTGGATTGCTGGGGCCCAGAAGTTCGAGACCAACCTGGGCAACATGGCACAACCATGTCTGTACAAAAAAAACAAAATTCAGCCAAGCATGGTGGTACACACCTGTAGTTCTAGCTAGTTGGGAAGCTGAGGTAGGAGGATTACTGGGGCCTGGGAGGTCAAGGATGCAGTCAGCTGTAATCATGCTACTGAACTCCAGCTTGGGTGACAGAGTGAGACCCTGTCTGAAAAAAATTTAAAAATAAAAATAAAAATTTAAGAATATAGAATTGGCTGTTTAGAAACAGTGAAAAAATACACTCCCTCATCACACCTTAAAATATATGGGTTATAGCCAGAATTGTACTCAGAGGTAAATTCATAGCCTTAAATCGTTTAATTATCAAACAATAAAGAATGAATATGAGTAAACTACGCTCCAAACAAAAATTCCCATTGAAATGACTAAGAAAACATAAGGGAATAAAAATTGTACCTATCACTGACTACCTTTCACAAGCCAGAAATGGAGGAATTTTCAACAGACATTGTTCAGAGAGGACAGGACTAGAAGAAGATACAGAAAATTAACCTGTGAGCCCAGGATCACACTGTCAAGTTCCCTGCTGTGCTCTCAGGCCTCCGCCTGAGTGAAGATCTACAAAAATCCAAACCTTCCCCTCCCTCTACATCTGGAACTGAAAGTCATAGAAGGGAGACAGAGACCACCTGGACTTCTGCTGGGTGACAGGCCAGGGCAGGGCAGCAGCCAGCACAGCACCTGACATACGGCAGGTACTTGAGTTGTTTCTGCTGCACAAAGAAAGGAAGGATGAGCAGCCGGAGAACAGTGCACTGGCCAGCCAAGCACTGCAGCTTCCCTGCGCGGGCCAGCCTGAAGAATCAGAGCTGGGCCCTACACTGAAGGCACTTTGTCCAGGAAATTGAAGAAGCCTCAGGAGAAGGAATGCCCTGGGGCTCCAGAGGCTCAGAGGCGCTGCCTTGGTGAGGCCACCTCTGCATCTAGAATGACCAGGGAGTGGGCCACCCAAGTAATCTGTAGAGTCCAAGGTGGAGATGGGCAAGGAGCAAGGATGGTGGTGTCCCAGGTACTAATGATGGCTTTTATCCTGAAGGGGATGGGAAGACTCATGGGAGGAAGTCATAAACATTTGCTGAAGGGTGGGCAAGAAAACCAGGCTCAGTGCAGGAGCTTCCAAGGCTCTGGCAAAAGGAGCCCCTACCAGCTGCAGGAGAATCGACATGGGACACTGCTCGAATCCCACCCAGTCCCCTCCTCACTGTCCAAGCTTGCTGTCCTCAGATGTGGGGGACGCTCCTGTCCTACCAAGGTCGTCACTATTGGTGGGTGATATAGTTTGGATAGTTGTCCCCGCCCAAATCTCATGTTGAAATGTAATCCCCAATTCTGGAGGAGGGGCCTGGTGGGAGATGATTGGATTGTGGGGGCAGAGTTCTCATGAATGGTTTCACACCATCCCCTTAGTGCTGTCCTTGCGACAGTGAGTGAATTCTCATGAGATCTGGCTGTGTAAAAGTGTGTGGCACCTCCCCTCCTCTCTCTCTCCTCCTCCTGCGTTCACCATGTGAAGTGTCTGCTCTGGATTCCCCTTCCATCAGGACTGGAAGCTCCCTGAGGCTCCCCCGAAGCTGATGCTGGAGCTCTGCTCCCTGTACAGCCTGCAGAACCACGAGCCAATTAAACATTTTTTTTTTTTTTTTTTTTTTTTTTGGAGACGGAGTTTGGCTCTTGTTACCCAGGCTGGAGTACAATGGCGCGATTTCGGCTCACCGCAACCTCCACCTCCTGGGTTCAGGCAGTTCTCCTGCCTCAGCCTCCTGAGTAGCTGGGATTACAGGCACGCGCCACCATGCCCAGCTAATTTTTTGTATTTTTAGTAGAGATGGGGTTTCACCATGTCGACCAGGATGGTCTCGATCTCTTGACCTAGTGATCCACCTGCCTCGGCCTCCCAAAGTGCTGGGATTACAGGCGTGAGCCACAGCGCCCGGCTAAACTTTTCTTTATAAATTACCCAGTCTCGGCTGGGGGTGGTAGCTCACGCCTGTAATCCAGTCACTTTGGAGGCCAAGATGGGCAGATCACCTGAGGTTGGGAGTTCAAGACCAGCCTGACTAACATGGTGAAACCCCGTCTTAAAAAAAATAAAAATAAAATAAATAAATTACCCAGTCTCGGGTATTTATTTCACATAAGAACAGCCTAATACAGTGGGGTAGAGAGGCTCTAAGTAAGCAGAGCAGGACAGGTGGGCTTAGGGTTGTGGGGGAGCACCAGCCTACAAACTGGACCTCAAGACCCAGGGTTCCCCAGGGCACACGGCTGTGAGCCTGGATCACTGGGGCACAGGCAGCCTCCTCCCTTGCACCACACTGTGGGGCCTGCCTGCACCCACCCCCAGCAACACTGAACCTCTGGAAGACCCTAGCTTCCAGACACCATCCCCTTAAATCGTTTAATTATCAAACAATAAAGAATGAATATGAGTAAACTACGCTCCAAACAAAAATTCCCATTGAAATGACCAAGAAAAGACAAAAGTCTGTGAACATGAAGCTTTAATTTAAAATTAACCAATGCCTCTGTTTCATCGGTTTGGTAAATAAACGTCTGGAATTCTTTCTTCAAATACAAATAATAGCTGAATTAGTCTGGTCACAAACAATAGTTCCCTGCAGATGGGCAAATACCATGGAAATGTCATCAAAAAGGCTGCAAAAGGAAGGTGCGCTTGCCTGGGGATGGGCTGGCTTGCTGAGCCTCGGTTTCCCCAGTGTAAGACACTCCCCTCCCACATATTCTGAGGCCCGGGAGGAAGATGGGTCTCACCCAAGTCCCTGGCCCCAGTCGAGTCTGGACTGCAGCAGGTAGAATGGGGCTGAGGGACTCCAGCTGAGAGAAGGTGGAACCAGGTAGGGTCCTAACCACGCCCTGTCCTCACCAGGGCACTGGACAGGTTGCCAGCCCTCCTGAGAGGCAATAAGACCCCATCCTCCCCAGGCAGGGGGACACAGGGGAGTCTTAGAGTCTCTGCTCACTGACTGGGGGATCTGGGGCCATGGCCTCACTGCCCCAGTGTGTGCAGAAGGACCCTCCCCAGCAACTTCAGTTGCCAGAAGGTGCCAGGTGCAGCCCGGGTGCTTAGAACATAGGCTGGGCACAGTGGGTCACACCTTTAATCTCATTACTTTGGGAGGCCAAGGCCAGCGGATCACCTGAGGTCAGGAATTCAAGACCAGCCTGGCCAACATGGTGAAACCCCGTCTCTACTAAAAATACCAAAAATTAACCGGCTGTGATGGCATGTGCCTGGAGTCTCAGCTACTTGCAGGGAGGGGCTGAGACAGAAGAATAGCTTGAACCTGGGAGGTGGAGGCTGCAGTGAGCCGATATGACACCACTGCACTCCAACCTGGGTGACAAAGTGAGACTTTGTCTCAAAGAAAAAAAAAAAAAAACATGAGGGGTGGCATTTTCCTTCTCCCCATCCCTGGGCCCTGGCTCCAGGACCCCAACCAGCTCCTGCTGACCTCCCTTCCCCTGCCCTTCTACCTCCCTCCTCCTGCATCCCAATTCCTTCTCTACCTGACCCTGAATCCCATCCCAAGTCTCCCTGTCCACTACCTCCTCCTGAATCCCTCCTCTCCCTCCTCCTCCTCCCTTCCAGGCTGTCATAGGCCTTTTCAGCCGGGTCCCTAGAGCCCCACCCTTCTCTGTGCTGGGAGACCAGGTGGTCCAGGGCATGTTGCAAGGAGCACAGCCAATCCCCTCCACAGAGCCCTGGCACCCGCACCTGCACATGGACCCATAACCTCAGATGGGGGGAAGCTGAGGTGCACCAGCTGTGTGCACAGGAGGCTCAGCCCTGTGTGCCATCTTCATGCCAGGATCCAGCAGTGCCCTGGCTGCAGGTCCCAGAGCCCTGCCTGGGAGATGATCATCTGCGGGAGTGCTGGCTTCAGTAGGTACCAAACCCTACAGGGACCAGGCTGGGGTGAGAAAGGGCACAGGATTAGGGGGCAAAGGCTGAGCGAGAAGCTCCCGTACCCAGTGTGCAAGGTACCCGAGGCAGGCTTGGTGGGGACCAGCTTTGGGCCCAGGATGGCCTGGATCCTGTAGCACACCAGGAATTGTGTCACCTCACACACCCTCACTGGGGGATCTGGGCTCCTGATTCACAAATAAGGAGCCACGCACAGGGTAGGGGCACCTCATGGAAGGGGCGTGGATCCCTGCCCTGTCTGTCTTCCCAGTGCGGGGCTGTCCTCAGTGCAGAGCCCTGGGTGGGCACTGTCTGCAGAAGGTGGGCATGGCTCTCTCTGAAGAGGGGCTGCTGTGGCACCTTCCTTCAGCTGCTCCTTGAGGCCTCGGTGTCCCTGGTGTCAATCATCCCACCAACCCTCTGCCGGCAGCTCACATACATCTTCTGTCTTACCGGGACCTCAAGGTCAAGCCCAAGCTGTTCAAATACAGAAAGTCACTCTGGGCATGCAATGTGTGTTGCCACAGCCCTGATGGTGGAAACAAGCTGGTAAACAGCCTAAACACCCAGGATGGGAGGCGTCTCCTGAACATGCCTAGGGAAGGAGCCAAGGGCGCCAGAGGAGAGGCAGGCCCAGTGCAGTGGGGCACCATGGGTATGAAAACAGCGGACACTGACGGGCAGTGCCGGGGCACGGGACCATGGCACACATCACACTTGGAAAGTACGCATTACACTTGGAGAGCACACGTCAGGAGGGGTGGGGATGCCACGTGCGCCGGGCTGTGGGCCTGTGACAGGCATGACTTTCTGTTCCTCCTTTTCTGTGTTTTCTACATTGTCTATAAACAAGCACATATTTCTTTATTATTTGAAGGGCTGGGTGTGGTGGCTCACACCTGTAATCCCAGCACTTTGGGAGGCCGAGGCGGGCAGGTCATTTGGGGCCAGAGGTTTGAGACCAGCCTGGCCAACATGGCAAACCCCCATCTCTACTAAAAATAAAAAAATTGAGCGCATGCCTGTAATCCCAGTTACTCAGGTGGCTAAGGCAAGAAAATCACTTGAACTCGCGAGGCAGAGGTTTCAGAGAGCCAAGACTGTACCACTGTACTCCAGCCTGGGTGACGGAGTGAGACTTAGTCTCAAAAAAAAAAAAAAAAAAAGCAAGGGTCCTGGCACCATAGTCACCTGGCCTCTGTTGCTCGGTGTCTTGGCCTCTCCCTGGCTCTTAGCCTCTCAGGAACACCCAGGGGAGCCTGGCCCAGCAGACGCAGGAAACATGTCTTTGGCACTGCAAGGACCTCAACTCCAGGCCTGGGGTGGGTGGTAGAGCCTCTGAGGGGGAAGTGTTGCCTGAAGGGTGGGCCTTGCCCCGGGTGAGACCTCTCCACCGACACCGCCCCTGACTGCTCAATGGCCTGGCCCAACTTTTTCCACTGGCCCTCCAGGCACTATGGACCTCCTAGATGGGCCCTGGGGACACCCAGCACCTTCCTCCAGGGCACACAGCAAAGGTCCTGGGGAGGACTGGGAGGAATGGGTTGGTAGCCATCTCTGCAGCCTCATTATCTTGCAAACTGCAGAGAGCAGCAAGTAAATTCAGATGAGTAAATGGCCTAATTAGAATTTCAGGAAGAGTAAAAATATTTTAAAAAGAAAAAGTTTATCGAAGGATCCAAGATGGCCAATTGCTAACATCTCGGGATGGCAGCTCTCAGTGAAAGCACAGAGAACTAGAGGACGCTCCACTTTCAGACAAATTCTGGTCGCTCACAGAGCAGAAGATCCCCAGTGGAGGAGCCACACGGGTCACCAGCGCGACTCTTGTGGCTGGCGTAGTGGTTGCGCCGGCACCTTGGCGTGGCAGCTCTCGGAGCAGAGTAAACCGGGCTGCTCCCCTTCTGACCGAGGTTTGGAGGACCCACACGGGTCGCCAGCACGACTCCAGAGGCCAGCGCAGCGGTTGTGACGGCACCTCGGTGTGGCAGCTCTCGGTGCAGAGTAAATGAGACCGGTTCCCCTTCTGACTGAGGTTTGGAGCCCTGGGGAAGGCAGAGTCGCCTATTACAGACACAAGAAGGAAGCCAGACAGGAGAATCCTGGGCAGAAAAGCACCATCAGTCTTAACACCACCGTTCTGGCCCTGGGAACTAACAACTTGGACGTCCACTCAAGAGACCTAATCTGAAAGTTGGTAATTTTCAAAGACGACAAGAGGATAAATTTACAATGATGGGAAGAAACCAGCGTAAAAAGGCTGAGAATACTCAAAATCAGAACGCCTCTCCCTCTAAAGATGATCACAGTTCCACATCAACAATGGAACAAGGCTTGACGGAGAATGAGCGCCTCCTGATGACAGAATCACTCTTCAAGGAATGGGTAATAAGAAACTTCTGTGAGTTAAAAGAACATGTTGTAGCCCAACGTAAAGAAACTAGGAACTTTGAAAAAAGGTTTGACGAATTCCTATTGAGAATAGACAACTTAGAGAGGAATATAAGTGAATTAATGGAACTGAAGAATACAATACAGGAACTCCGAGAAGTATGCCCAGGTTTAAACACTCGAATTGTTCAAGCAGAAGAAAGGATATCAGAGGTCAAAGTCCAACTTAATGAAAGAAAACAAGAAGACAAGATTAGAGATAAAAAGATAAAAAGGAATGAGCAAAGTCTCCAAGAAATGTGGGACTATGTGAAAAGACCAAATTTACGTTTGATAGGTGTACCTGAATGCGACGGAGAGAATGAATCCAAGCTGGAAAATACCCTTCAGGATATTATTCAGGAAAATTTTCCTAAACTAGCAGAGCAGGTCAACATTCAACCCCAGGTAATACAGAGAACACCACAAAGATATTCCTCAAGAAGAGCAACCCCAAGGCACATAATCGTTAGATTCACCAGGGTTGAAACGAAGGAGAAAATACTAAGGGCAGCCAGAGAGAAAGGTCAGGTTACCCACAAAGGCAAGCCTATCAGACTTACAGCAGATCTCTCAGCAGAAACTCTACAAGCCAGAAGAGAGTGGGGGCCAATATTCAACATCCTCAAAGAACAGAACCTTCAGCCCAGAATTTCATATCCAGCCAAACTAAGCTTCACAACTGAAGGAAAAATAAAATCTTTTATGAACAAGCAAGTACTCAGAGAATTTATTACCACCAGGCCTGCTTTACAAGAGCTTCTGAAAGAAACATTACACACAGAAAGAAACAACCAGTATTAGCCTTTCTAAAAATATACCAAAAAGTAAAGAGCACCAACATAAAGAAGAATTTACATCAACGAATGGATAAAACCGCCAGTTAACATCAAATGGCAGTAACCCTAAATTTAAATAGACTAAATCCCCCAATCAAAAGACACAGCCAAAATCCAACAGCATGTTATATCCAGACCTGTTTCACATGCAAGGATACACAAAGACCCAAAACAAAGGGATGGAGAAAGATTTACAGGTATGAGCCACCACACCCAGCCTAAAGGCATATTTCAAATACTGAACTTATCAACTGCAAAATGGTCAACCTGGCAAGGTGGGCCATAAGGGAGGAGGCATGGGGCGCCCAGCTGCCATCTTCCCAGCCTCACACAGTATAGCTGTCCCCACGTCCTCTGCCAGGCAGGTAAGAAAAGCCTCAAGTCCCCCAAAACTGAGCTGTGGGGGGGCACTCCCACAGGAACAACCCCACTGCACTGAACCTGACTCAAAGGATGCCCCCCGCTGAGGGTCAGGAACCCAGCCTGAGTCCAGGGAGGCTTCTCAAACAGCCACAGCCAACTGCAGTCCGTGGGACAGGGGAGGCCCAAGAAGGGGCCAGAGAGGCGAGCCCAGCGGCCTGGGATGCTCCAGGGAGGACAAGGATGAGGCAGGAGAGGAAATGTACCAAACGGTCACCACACTGCAGCCTGTGGACAGCTCAGGGGAGCCCCTGGGCACAGCACGGCCAGGGCCCTTGCTGGTGGCCTGGGCACCACAG